AAAAAAAGAAAAAAGGAAAAAAAAAAAAAGAAATTAGGTAAGACATCCATACTCTGCTTCAAGCATTTAAACAATTTTTCTGTTGCTCATGCAACAACCATATTTACAGTTTTGGTTTAGGAAGAGAATTTTGGATCCAAGAAAGCACATTAACCAGTACTGCTGAAACCAAACTGAGAAAAGTATCCCATTGCCTGGTTCATTACAGAGTACCAGGCACAAAGCATTAACTGAGCAGTTCTAACTGATGTGTAGTTGACATTAGCATTTGAGAGTGCAGTCATATTTGAGTCTGTAACACATGTGTAGGTGGGGTGTATGGGGGAGGCGCAGGTGATGGCTTGATTCCTCGGGCTCTCATATAGGAGAGAAACTGCTCAGGGATCTCAGCTAGGACGTCTTTAGCCAATCTAGCCATGCTCAATATATGGTTTCCGCTTCTGTCAATATAATCCCTGAATGGCACAAACTAAAACAGAGATGAAAAGTTACTTCACAGACTTTAGAAGCTGTGTAATTAATAAACAGAAAAATCAGCACATATACATATTTGGTCATAGGAAAATCAGGGAATTTGAGAATAATGGGGAGATGAATATTATACATTTTAGAAAATATTCAATATACTACAAATAGCTATAAGTGACTAAACTTACATATACTTATCTCAAAAGGAATGCAATTGTTTCCTGTTTCTCCCCCAATAACTCATGCCACTGAATCCTAACAGGCTCATTATGTTGCCAAATGTCTTCTGCAGTCTTACGTTCTATACCTAGCCTGACTCCCAACAGGATGGAGCATTTATCCTCTTTGGGGCTTGGTTTCCTGTCAAATGGAGTTAATATATGCCTACTTTGGGTTCTGATATAATAACTATCTAATTCTGAGTAAGAAACAAGTATTACCCAATTCAGGGTTAAAAATAATAGTGTACATTATTAAGGAGTCCTAAGCATATTAAAGTATTTTAATTATTGCTATGACAAAAATCACATGGTCTATGAATATAGAATTCATACCTCTAATATTAATAGGAAACAAATATTCCATACATTGAATTTTGTATCAGATGTTGATTTTTAAATATAATCTGGGAAGACAGGAAAAAAACCTTGGCATAAAATTTGGGTATATTTCTTAGTGAATTATGTTGGCGCTAAAACTAATTGCAGTTTTGGCAGTAATCTGCAGTTTTGCAGTGGCAAAACTCGCAATTACTTTTGCACCACCTTTAATAAAAATGATTACTCCACGTTTATATATGTAATTACGTGAGAGCCCTTATCAGCTCGACACCAAATGCTCCTGTAATAGATTGCCTGATTCCATTCTCATTTATAATGGTTATTTAAGTTAATAAACACTGTGTTGTTTGAGGACATTAGTTCAATTTTCTCTTAGGGACATAATGATGCTTGAAGCAACTCTGAAGTGATTGATTGGAACTGTTAATGTTGTGATAATTTAAAAGCACAGTAATTTTAAGTCTTCAGAGAAAAGGCATAGTGAAGATATTTTAATATGTTGAATAATTTCTGAGTATAATATTTAAAATTTTGAATTAAGTCATTTTTTCTCCCAGATGAAGACAAAGAACAATCCTGTCTCAGGCTGTAAAATATCACTTTACATTTATTTTGAAAAATGTTTGTTTTTTGTTTAAAGTTATTCAATATGTGCCTTTGGAAAATAATAATTATAATAATTATTAGATTATTATTTTATATTATAATTTTTTATAATTGTAATTATTTTATAAGACAGCATTTAAAATGGTCAAGTTGCTACAGGTAAACTAAAAAAATTTTAGGAAATCAAATATTAATGTCTTTTATGCAGTAAAGGTAGTCTTTTAAAGGAAGAGAAGAAAATTATTTGTTTCTTTTAAAAATAAGACACACTACAAGAAAGCATATAAAATTTTACGTTTTTTTTTTTTTTTTTTTAAATGAATGAGAGGTTCTTATGTTGCCCAGGTTGGTTGGCCTCGAACGCATAGCCTCGGCTCCTCAAGCACCAGGACAACTGGCATGAGCCACCGTGGCCCCAGAAATACTTATTTGTTCTAAAAATGTTATTTATGTTAATATGTAATAGGTTTGCTTGTTTAAGACAAAGTCTCAGTCTGTCACCCAGGCTGGAGTGCAGTGGCTTGATTACAACTCACTGCAACCTCTACCTCCCAGACTCAAGAGATCCTCCCACCTCAGCCTCTCAAGGAGCTGGGACTTCAGGCATGCACCATCAAACACGGCTAATTTTTGTATTTTTTATAGAGACGGAGTTTTACCACGTTGCCCAGGTTGGCCTCGAATCCCTGGGCTCAAGCAATCTGCCCACCTCAGCCTCCCAAAGTGTTGGGATTATAGATATGAGTAGCTAGCCAGGTTTGTTATTTTAAAATAAATAACTAGGGGGCCAGGCGCGGTGGCTCAAGCCTGTAATCCCAGCACTTTGGGAGGCCGAGGCGGGTGGATCACGAGGTCAAGAGATCGAGACCA